GTGTGTGCGTGTGCGTGTGTGCATTCCAGTGCGTCTGTATCTGCCCGTGCATGTATGTCTGCACGCATTGGCGCTCCTGTGTTTGTGTGCATGTGTGTGTCGGCTGGCGTGTGTTCGCTTCCTCGGTTCCTTTCTCGTCTCTCGTGAGGTGGGTTCAGCTAATCTGTCATCACATGCCGACGTGGGATGGGGAGGGGGGACGTCAAAATAAACACACGCACACACATGCGCCAGTGAATTCCTTTTAAAAATAAAAAAAAAGGGAGGGAAGTAAAGACCGAGGACCTCCGGAGCTCTGCACCCCAGCTTTAGCCCCCCACCACAACCCCCCCACCCTCCTTGTCCCCTCGCAGTACCAAGCCTCACTGCCAAACACCACAGAAATGCCACTGAGGCAGAACGCTAACGCCAAACTGGACCACCAACCTGCTGCAACCTCTCCTAACCCAACTGGGACCTCCTGTTGCTTATCTCTTCCTTCATTTCTTCCTTTCTATCATCTCCATCTCATAGCCGCTCCTGCTGCCTCCACGTCTCTCCTCTGTCTGTGGCACATCTCTCGCTTTAAAAAAATAAATAATAATCCACTTTGTTTCCAGTTGCTTCTGACCACTCCTGTGATTCCTGATGCCGCCTGTCTAGCACCGTCAGCTCACATACAAGCAGCAAGCCTGGCATTAGAGCTTCCTCCTTCAGTTCTGTTGGACTCCCACTCTTAACTGGACTGTTTTCTTTTGTTTTTATTTTTTATTAAAGTGGACATTAATGTGTATGTGTTTATATTTTGTTTCCTCTTTTAATTAATGCCTGTTTTTTGTACTCATATGTGGAGACGTCTTAGAGGGAATATTTTACTTGAATTAGTGCTAATAGGCATCCAAACAGAAGGGATCTGATTGAGACACTCGCCTAGATCATGTGTTTTTCTGGCTCTGGGATTTGTCTGAATGTAGAGTCCATTGTCTGTGTGCTCTGTGTTGAGGACACTCTCTGGTTCAGGAATGCACAACTGAAAGGGTGGTAGAGGGGGGTTGTCCATCTGAGTCCTAATCATTAAATCTAATCAATCCATGGCCTGACTAAATGTCTCTGTCTCTTGATTGTAAGCTGGGAGGAGTTTGTTTTACATTTTATGCTTAAAATGAATCAAAAAGGCTTGATTTGTACATGAGATGCATATAATTTCATATATTAGCAAAATAAACCTCTCCCACGCTCCCTCTTTAAGCTCAGGAGAGTCAGTGTAGACAGACCATTAGCCGATTAATGCACCCCCCCTAAGAACGATGGAGTCCAACTGGAGACCCCTTTCCCACCCACCTTCCTGGATCTGACCCAGCCCAAACCGACTACAGCTGCTCCAGTATGGAGAATCCATCGGGGCAGCGCTTGAGCAGGAGCCAGAGAGCCGTTTCTGCTTTTCAACTCCTCCCCAGTGGCTCCCCAGGCGGCTCGCTCCGCTTTCCACATTACTGTAGCCGAGTTTCTGGAGGAGCCTGCCAAAACTACACCTCCACAACCGCCATAGTTTTAAACTGTCCATTGTTGCGGGTTTATTGTTCCTCCTCTGTGTGTGTCGGGTGAAGTGACAGGTATTCGCTCTGTCCTCTGTGGGTGGTAGAGCTGTCTGTGAATGGGTGTAATTAGTGTTTAAGTAGGAGTGTTTGTGTTTCAAAGGGATTAAGAATTTGAGAAAGCTCTGTGTGCAAAACCCATTCACCACACATTTGGGTTTTTTTTGTTAACCAAGTTTACAAGTGTGTGTATGTAAATATCACTCATCCAGAACAAAAACATCTGCTTTTAAAAACGCAAAGCAGCGCTTGTTATACGTTACAGACAGTAGAAGGTGATAAAATGCTGCAACACAAGCTCTCCACACACTGATTTCCGTTTAAAAGTTTATTTATTTTTTAGAATTCATATGAAAAATGTCACTCCTGCATCAAATTGGACCAGTTTTCATACATCATTTTCACTCTCGTTTGTCAAACACAAGCTGCCGACTGCATCTTATCAGACATCATGCTCGGAGTACAGATGAGGTACACAGACGTAGCGGTTTCAGTACTATGGGACATCTCAGGCTGCACGCTCAGTGGAGCAGCACATTCCTCGAGTTGCATGTTACTGAGTTACCAGTGACCCAGCGCACAACAGTACACAGAATGGCTGAAAGAAAATGCAACTTTAACTCTTTTTTTCCTTCAGATTAACAACCAATGACCCCAATTTCTGCTCCTTTCTTGAGTGGAAAATAATGACTCAAAGCTGCCCTGGAGCTGCCCGTGCCCTCTGCTAACGCACTGAACTGTGGGAGTGTTAAATACACACACACACCTCTCACAGGAGAGAAGTGAAGGGGGCAGTTAGCAGAATTTTCACTGTATAATTAACTCTGTAATCTTCAGAGAGCTGCCTCTCACTCCTTCTCTGTCACACACTTGTCAGGTACATTAACTGCCAGTCGTGTGTGAATATATTTTAAAAAACATTTTGGGGATCTGTGTGTGTGTTTCCACTCTGGACAGTTGGGGATTTTTTTAGTTTTTTCTTTTTGGGTGGTAGGAAGGGGGTTCTATAGTAGGGTGGAGCGTCACAGTCTATGTCCTGTGTTCACTTCATTAGAGTTTAAATGGTCTACAGGGAGATTGCGACTGCCTTTCACATCACGCCACCTGCATTTCCCATTACACACAGTTCACTTACAGTTACTCATACGACCACATCCCTCCACACTCCACACTGACCTCACACACAAACACACACACACACACACACACACACACATACAGCACAAACATCTTTTCACATGCTTTCTGTCCTCATGCTTTCAACACAAACAAACTGTATTGTATAAACCACTCACAACCATTCACAAGTGCAGATGTGCACATGGCATTAACACAGCATGTGGTCATAGTTTTTTTTTTTTTTTTGCTTGAATATCAATTTTTCGTACAGTTCACTGCTATAAATCATCCAGTCATCACTCACTCCCGCACATATAAGCCAACAAATCTTTTTCTCGCTCTCACATACACATACATGCAAACACAAACACATGTACAGACTTTATTTGAGCTGCAGTTAGCTGTGCATTATTACCCATCTGGGCTGTATAACCCTCCAATATGCAGTTTTGTCTTTGCATCAAGACAGGACATTGTTTATGGATCCATCTTACCCCGTCATAGGCTGAGTTTAGCTCATTTAAACTTGCCAAGAGATCATATGACACACTAAACAGACACACACCACACACAATAACAGGGCAGGCCCTGCTGCCTCAAGGGCTTTATGAGTCCTTCATGTGAGTCTGACTCCCTGCCTTTCTTTTTCCACCCTGGCAGCGTCCCCCCCAAGAGGTCTCTGGCACAGCCCTCACAGGTTAAACTTCACAACAAAGTGGCAGAGTGGTCTGCAGGTTGGCCCCTCATCACACAGTCACTGGAGGGTATTTCTGGTCACTGGTGACACTGGACCCACCAGTGGGAGGAGGGCAGGGGGACTGGAGTTGTCTGTATCCTCCCTGAGTGGGGTCCAGGTAGGCTTGGGCAGGGGACACAGGGTGGGCGTAGCCGATGTACTGCGGGTGCAGAAACTGTCCCTGGTGAGGCATGATTTGCGTGGCCTGCTGGCAGTTGAGCACGGAGAAGTTAGTGGGCATGTTGACAAAGACGCTGGCATCGGGGGGCAGGCAGCAGGACGCCTGAGCCCGCATGAGGGGAGGGGGGACGGGGCGGGGTGCTGCGGGTGGGGCGGAGGAGCTGGACGAGGTGGCCGTGCTGGACTGGCGGGACGATGAACCTCTGGAGGTCCCAGCACTGGCCATCATAGGGATGGTTTCCAAGAGGCGACCACCGCCAGACCCACCTCCTGACGCACCTCCTGATGACAGTTCCTGTTTGGGCCGGAGACAGCGGCAGCAGCACACAGCAACCACAGAGCCCACCAGGATGAAAGCTACAAACACTGAGCCCACAATCAGGAACGGCACATAGATGGGCACTACAGAGAAAGAAGGGAAAAAAAGACACATTCACATTAAAAAAACGGCAATCAGACCTGCTTCTGTGGCAAAATATTAACTTCTAAGTTGAACATTAAACTTCAAACAACACACACTCACACATCTTGCTTCTGTGCACAGGCAAAGTGGAGTGGAGATTGGGTGAGATTGGGCAAAGTGGAGTGGAGATTGGGTGAGACAGTGAAACAAAAGACCGAGCAGAGGAGTGTTTGGACTTGAGTACACCAGGATTGGGTCCCCAGGGAGTCCTAGGCTCTCATTAGCAGTTATTAACTTTGTTTTGATCTGTTTTAATCCTCAGCACCCTGCTGTGTCCCCAGCCTCCTCGACCCTGCAGACCTGTGTGTTTGTGTGTGTGGGTGACATTCTTAAGACCGGCTGCCAGCAGATATTTGTGACCCTTCTTTTTTTCTTCATCTATTTATGACCAACCCTCTGAAAATAAGTTACTCAGGTTGAACTACAGTACTTGGCTTCTGCGTAAAGAAGGGTATTAGAGTTGACTGATTTAATGTAGCTGAATGGGAGGTTATTCAGCCTTTTAAATCAAAAGAGTAAGCCAATTCCTTCTCACTGACCTTTTCTTTCTCTTTGTTTAAAACAGCAAATCAGACTTGAAAGAAAGAACTTGTGTAACTCTCACAACCCCACCAATCAGAGTGTCGTTTGCTGGGTCGAATAGCAGAGGTATTATTTAACAGGTGAAAAATCTTGACATTTTTATAGGTGAAGATCTCCGTTCCAGTGAGAAGCTCCAACAACAACTTTGAAACATGATCAACAATAACTTTCCTTAACAGTTTCTGTTCTAACTACACCTTTATGACCAAATAATGAAGGTAAAGAGTGAATGTTTTTTGGCAGAAACAGTGTGACAGGCGAGATGAGGTAACCTCTGAGGTGCTCGTTCATTCCCATGCTCACACACACAAACACCTT